CTTCATCACCAATAGAACTAGTCAGGGCTGTGAAATGACGACATTAACCCGTGGTTGGAAAGTATAGCAATGAATATTGTATCACTATTAACCTGATCAGCTATAAACGCACCTGCAAAATGACATCATCGGAATAATACACAAAACCAAATCAAGAGCAAAGCATTTTATTTTATGGACATTCGGTGTCAATCAGATTGGTCATGTGTTGGGAATTCAACTAATAGGTTGATAAGATTTGCAATCAACATATCAACCAGTAACTTCCCCTGATAGTGCTGTGACACGAAAAGACCCAGCATAGTGGAAATCACACACGCTAAACTTTGCTCACCGAGGTGGCTTCTGCGCTCAAACTCTGAAGATCCAATGTTCTGAGACGTTACAAAAAAGAGGCTGTTTTCCTATTCGTAATGTATACTGCCATATGAGAATTTGTCTTTTCAACGAACGTTTTATGTAAAGTATGTGATTTTATCCTTACTCCAAGTATTTTAAAACTAATTTCGCGCTCGTCTCAACATTTGTAATATGACGGGTTATATCCGCGAGTTGATAACATTCTGGTCCATTGCCATTATCGAGAGTGATGCGAGAATAATTACAAGCATCTGATAGCCCCACTACTGAAGGCATTTGAACTGACGGCCTTTCTAAGATATACTTATACTGTTTGCTATTTGAAAGAACATTATTATATATAATAATGGCATTATAATCAGCAGACATTTTATATATGAATCCTGGGTAGCGTATGAAATATGCAAATTAGAAAGGCTTAACAGAAACTATATTTATCTGTTATTCGTAGTGTACTATTGTCGTGCGCCGTAAATATTACTTTCTTTTTTGTGTGTTTAACCAATGAGTCAAGATAAGAAAGTTTAAGCCAACTTACCCATTTTATTCTTATTATAATGACATCCCAATTAGACCTGGTTATAAATCTAGAAAGGAAAATAGCGAAACATTGTAGATTGCTGTTTACCATATTCACAGTTAAAATGTGCTATATTTTTACTGTAGCAGAGTTTTTTGAAACTTAGAACGTAAATTCGTACGCAATAAAAACTAACTTTACTGGATGGTGTAGAAAGTTCGAATCCAGTGCAAAGATTGAAACCTCTTCCTGGTTAGCTGGGTTTCCTAACTTTAACAAACAGCTCTAGACTTGTTATAGTCTTTAATCGTCTCACTACGATTGACTGACAATCCCACTTAGCGGGAGCTCCGATCAGGTATCACGTGATTGCTTGTGGAAGTGAATATTTGTCAGCAATAATAAAAAAAAAGGGGATGAAATATTGAGCTAAGGAACGGTATAATAAACCATATGGATATGATGAAAGACGGTGGAGCTGCGCACGCAAAAAGGGAGAAAACGTTGACAGTATTATAAAAAGTAAAAAAAGTTAGGATTGGCAGGTTTGGAGTTTTTTCTTCTTCGACGTTGATCGAATATTTAACAAACCGCTTTCTTGAATAAGATAAAAATTTTTTGACAGTCTGTATTTGGCGAAAAATATATTTATTTTGTTGAATGCGGGCTTCCCGCATTTAGGATCGTCAATCACCACCATAATCGTAGCCATTCAAATAAATACCTTTTAAAGCTATTTTCAAATTTATCATTATTAGTTGCAATGTTTATTGATCTCCAATTGTTATGACCTCCTACTTGTGATATAAATGGCAGATCAGTAATACATTACATTGCATATATATCAAATAGTACATTGCCGGCGATGTAGTCCGGCAATGATTGTCGTCGGAATAATGACGTTGAAATTATATTCAGAAACCGTTTCTTTGACACTTTGATGACAGCTAATTGAAAGAATAAAGTATTCACATATATTGTCGCTCTTTAACGAAAAGCACTGAAGTAAACCAAACAAGTCAGAATTTAGGTGATTCATAATTTGGAAGAAAGGTCGTCAAAACATGGTATTTTGTTGCAGCCGTAATACCATACGATGGCTAACAAACAAATAGTCCCTGCATCATAATACAACCTTGAACGAATCGAATAAAAGCGTATGATCAGTAGGCTAAGCCATCGGAATTATTCACAGTCTCATAAACTCATAAATAGCTGCTTTATTCGCCCTTCGGCTTGTATGAATTCTGCTTTTATACTTACCATACAACTCTTTTATATCTATAAAATCTGTCAGTC